CTTCTCCCCTCTGCCCCCAGCCCTGTCCCCCGGCACAGCCCCCAGGCCCCCCGGCACTGCCCCATCACCTCCCCCGGGTGTGTTTATGGGGGGCAAGGGTCGTTCTGCATCTTGTTGGCCGCAGGAAGGGGTTTAACATCCCCCTAGGATGCCCCCCTGGCCTCTAAATACAGCTCCCAAGTCTCCCCTCTTGCTCCCAAGAAGAGAAGTGGCCTACAATTGCACTCAGGAAATCCCCAAAGCTCGTGGGCTTTGTCTACCACTGGGATCTGGGAAAAGAGGTTTTTCTAAATGGTGAAACCCTTCAGGGTCTCACCTCGAGGGTCTGCACTGGAGCTCGGCCCCATTGTGCAGCAGAGTCTGGGGACCAGGGAACTGCTTCTCCCCAGATGCAGTTTTCCTTTTCCTTTGGAAAGCTGGTCCAGGGAAGCTCGCTGCTCCTGCAGCCTGAGCAGAGCCAGGAGCGTCCCCAGGTGTCCTGTGCTGCCCTGGGGAGCCGGGGAAGGAGCACCGTGAGTTCCTGACCCCTCGGAGGGTTCTGTCCTGCCTCCGTTTCTGTCCCGGGAGGGATGGGAGCCGCTTCTCCCTGGAGCAGGGGCCCCGCCTGCCTTTGGAGCACGGCGTTATCCCTGCAAGTCTCAGGAAAGCTGCCCGAGCCTGCGGTGGGGAGATGAAAGTGCTTGATCGGATTAGAGGTTCTGAGAAGTCAGATGAGCTGAAAGGGACAGGCAGCTGCAGGAAGCAGGCTCAGCATCCCGATGGAAAAATCCCTTTCTCAGCATCCCCCGTGCCCTAAGAGCTCTCTCTGCCAGGTCGGGGGCTGACGGGCAGCTCGGTACAGTAACAGCTTTGTGTGGCCAGGCAGAGGACACACAACATCTGCTCTGCCTCCCTTCTTGCCGAGTCACTCTCTTGCCTGAGGATGCCCTGGGGCTCTCCAAATCGTTATTTTAGCAGGATGCCTCTGCTGCAAAGGCTCCGGTTTGCTGGTTGTACAGCAAATACATCTTGCCTGTGTCTGCACTTCCTGGTTTCTAGGGGAAAACCTGGCGCAGGGTGCCCAGAGCAGCTGTGGCTGCCCCGGATCCCTGGAAGTGTCCAAGGCCAGGCTGGAAGGGCTTGGAGCAGCCTGGGAGAGAGGAAAGTGTCCCTGCCATGGCAGGGGTGGGATGATCTTTAAGGTCCAAACCATTTGGAGATTCTATGATTTCTTGTTCTAGTGGGGCAGATTGGGCTCTGGAGGTTCTCCCAGGAACGGGGTGACAACAATCTCACGTCTCTCCTTTCACAGACCTTTCTGTGGGTGACTGAGGGGCTCAGGCTTGGACTGAAGGCGTTTTGGTGCTTGCTGGGTGCTTTGTTCTGGACAGCTGAGCTGGGGAGGTGAAACAAAAGTTGCTTAATCCTCTCAGAGTGCTGCAGAGCCTGAGCACTGCCTGCAGCCATCAGGATTGGGGTAGCCCATCCTGTGCTGGCTCTGGCTGCTGCTCAGCCCTCTGCAGGAGGGGACAGTGGCCCTGTGTGTGCAGGGCTGTGTCCTCTGCTGTCCTCAGCTGCTACCTGTGGGTGATGGAGCTGGCCTGGTGTGGGGTGTGATCACACCAGTCCCCATCTCTGGAAAAGCTGCCCCAGGTCAGCTGCTGAGCCCACGACCCCGTGACAGTTCATGGTGTGATGTCCCAGCTGACAGCAGCTCTGTGCAATGATTGATAACAATTCCATTTTATTTATCTTTTAACAGCTGCCCCTTCCTTGCCAGTCACCTGACCCTGGCCATCCCCATCATCGCCGCCATCCTCTTCTTCTTTGTCATCAGCTGCCTGCTCCAGACAAGCTTCAGAGACCCGGGAATCCTGCCCAGAGCCACCCCCAGTGAGGCTGCAGATCTGGAGAAGCGAATTGGTGAGAGCTCTGATCCCTCTCCTGTGCTTGGCTCCATGCTTGGCTCTGTTTCTTTGCACCTTTCAGGCTCAGTGAGGCCCCTTTTTTGGGTCTTGGCTCTGTAAGGTTTGCCCAGGAGGAGAAAAATCCAGAGTATCAGATTGTCAGGCTTGACAGTGTTTGCCAGTCATGATAAGAGGTGCAACAGGCTCCTCTGGCACAGCAGGCAGTGCCTCAGAGAGGCTCTGCAGAGCAGCTCAGGTGCTCTTTGTTCCTGTTCAGTCCCAGAGCTGAAGGATAATTAATGCTTTTCGGTACTGTGATTTGCCATTGAGCCTGCTGTGCTGCAGGGTGTTCTTTAGAGTAGCCTAATGTTTGTCCTCTTCTCAAAACTGCTCTGTCACGCTGGTTTGGGGACAGCCAAGGAGGTGTTTGCATCCAGGAGCTGTGGACCTTGGTGATGTGACAGGTTGGAACAAATGCCTCAGCAAAGCTGATGTGAGACAGCTTGAGTCTGTCCCGCTGAAGACAGATGCAAGGCAGTAATTCTGCATCTGACTTTAAAAATGGTTTTTAAATATCCCCAGAGTGGTGATCCATGTTTCTATTTATAAGGGCCTAAAGCAGTAATCTGGCTGCAGATGCTGCCTGATGTGCCAGCTGTTACTGCTAATATAATCTACTTATTATCCTCTTAACATGCTCACTGTTGCATCACTGTTTTCAAAGAATTCCTCACAGTTGGAAAGGTACTTTTTTGGGAGTGACTAAAAGGAATAAATCCCAAAACTGCAAACATGATACCAGAGGTTTCCAGCTATTGCTGTGTACAGGAACAGTCTTCAGCCCCCAGGGAATATTGGAGTGCCAGCACACAGAGATGTAACTTGCAGTGCCCCTAAAAATCCTCAATTTAAACGGGGAGAAGGAGGAATCCTCTTGTGCTGTGAACACAAACATACCAAATTCCAGGGAATCTGCAGGACCTGCTGCTGTCCTTCCCCACAGTGATGGAGGGGAGTCCCTGCAGGCTGGGAGTGCTGCAGCTGCGGGGTGACAGGCTGTGTGCTGGCAGTGGCAGGGATGCTCCTGCTGCTGTGGCAGAGCCACAGGTGCCTTCAGAGCCAGGCTGCCTGTTGTGACCCGCTGGACACACAGAGATGAGCTGGACACACAGAGATGAGCTGCTGTTGCTGGGCTGCTGCTTTACACTCGCTGTTTGTCAGTTCCCACAGCACCAGGCACTTTCTGCTTCCTCTTGGCATCCCAGCGGCCTCGCCACTGAACAAAGGCCATAAATAAAGCGAGGAGCTGACTGGAGCTCTTGGCTTCCCACCCTGCAACAAATCCTGTCTTGTGTTCTGTTAAAGCCAGGAGAGCTTGTGCCAGCCCCAGCCCCTGCTAGGAGGCAGCCGGGGGTGGCACAGGGGTGTGAGTGTCCCTCCTTGTCCCTGCAGACAGCATGGGCAGCTCCACGTACCGTCCCCCGGCCCGCACCATGGAGGTGGTGATCAACAAGTACGTGGTGAAGCTCAAGTACTGCTACACCTGCAAGATGTTCCGGCCACCTCGCACCTCCCACTGCAGCGTCTGCGACAACTGCGTGGGTGAGCGGGGCTGGGGGGGCGATCCCAGCATGTCCTGAGCTGGGAGGGACCCACAGGGGTCACTGATCCAGCTCCTGGCCCTGCACAGACTCCCCAGAAATCCCCCTGGGCATCCCTGGCACTGCCCAAATGCTCCTGGAGCTCTGGCAGCCTCGGGGCCGTGCCCATTCCCTGGGGAGCCTGGGCAGTGCCAGCACCCTCTGGGGGAGGAACCTTTCCCTAAATCCAGCCTGAGCCTGGCCTGGCCCAGCTCCAGCCATTCCCTCTGGTCCTGTCACTGATCCTGTCACTTGTGTCCCTGGACAGATTGCTTTTTGCTTCTCCTGAAGGATTATAAAACAAGATACTACATGGTCTGTCTCCTTTGCATTTAAACTGAAAGCAGCCCTAGTGCACTGGCTATGGGCAAGGGGCAGCACACCCAGGACTCCGTGGCTCTGTGTTCTCTGGTTTTGGGAGGAGGGCTCTGTAAACAAACACAGGGTTTGCTGCAGGCTGCTCGTGGTGTGTGGCCTGGCTGTCCCCAGGCTGGTACAGACACCGTGGGACTCGGTGCCTGTGCAGTGCTGCAGGGAGGTTCTGCCCTCGGGCTGCAGGCCAGGGTGGGTTTGCAGTTCCTCGTTCTGTGGGGCTGAGCAGAGTCTGCTCTGAGTTGGGTGCAAGGTGGCACGAGCCCTCCTCACCACAAGCCTCTGTTCCAGAGAGATTCGACCACCACTGCCCCTGGGTGGGCAACTGCGTGGGCAAGCGCAACTACCGCTACTTCTACGCCTTCATCCTGTCCCTGTCCTTCCTCACCGCCTTCATCTTCGCCTGCGTTGTCACCCACCTCACCCTGCGTAAGTGCCGGCCAGGGGGGCACAGCAGGGCACGGCTCCCGTGGGACACAGCAGGGCACGGTCTGATGGGAGACACCAGGGGAGGGGCTCGGGGCTCCGGGGAACGGGGCAGCCTCGGATCTGCCTGTGCCTGGCTGCAGAGGCCCTTTGGGAGCTGGGGGTGGGATTTGCTTCCCCGAGCAGGTGAGCTGGTGGTGCATCCACCCTGACCCTTCCCGTCAGCCCCGGCCTCCCCAGCCGCGTCCTGGCGCTGCTGCACGTTCCAGACTGCGGCTGTTCCTCCACAGGGGTGGAGTTGTGGCTGGAGGGGCAGGGCTGCCTGCTGGGATGCCATTCCTTCTCCTGTTTTGCTTTGCAGGCTCTCAGAGGGATGGGTTCCTGGCCACTCTGAAGACAACCCCTGCGAGATATCCTTCTGCTGCCAGCAGCTGCACTAATTGCTAACAGAGAGGGTCAGGAGCTCTTTGCAGGTCACCCTGGTGTCCTTTCCCCAGTTTAATTTAGTCCCCTGGCTACCTGGGACCAAGGGTGGGACAAAGTTGTTTCCCAGTTTGTAAGTTTAGGTGGAAAGGGAAGAGCTGGAGCAGGCTGTGCCTTGGTGGATCCCTGCAAACCAGCTTGCCCAAACCTCCCCAAACAATCCTCTGCTTCTCCCTATGGGATGATTTTGTTTCTTGAGACTTCCTTGACTTTTGTTTCACTGTGCTGGAGCTGGTGATTTGTTTTTTCTCAGTCTGGTCTATTTTGGGCCTCTCAGGTTTTCACACTTACTTAGTCGCCTCCAACCTGACGACCAACGAAGATGTAAGTACCTGGCTGTTTGTCCTGCTGCCAGGCTGCCCATGAGCCATCCTGAGGAGGTGTTCAGGGGATTCTTGGCTGCCTCAGTGCAGTGTTTCACTGCCTGTGATAACCCAGTGCAGAGCAAACAGCCTGTGCCCACGGCTGCACTTTCAGGTGGCTGAGTTAGAACCATCACGGGTGTGTTTTTTCCAGGCTGTTTGTGGAAAGGCTGGCCCAGAGGAGTATTTGGGTGTGAGCTTGGTGATCTGAATTCAGCATCCCATGTAACCACAGGTTTCCTCTGAGACCCTGGGCCAGTCCCTTTGTGTCTGCCAGTTCCTCATCTCTAATTAGCAAATGATGTACAGACATCTGATGAGAGTTGCCTTCAAATCTGGGGTGTGCACAGACTCCAAGGACCAAAGGAGTGCCCTGAGTGGGGCAGATTGAATGGAAAAGCAGGATCTGTCTGATCCTCAGAGGCAAAATTTGCCCTTCTGGCCAGAAGTACCTGTAATCCTTGCTGGGAACTTCCAGCACTGCAGGAGGCGTGTTTGCATCCCTTTGGTTTTTGCTTTTTCCCCTTTCCCCTCCACCTTTCACTCAGAGGTGTGACAGGAGTGCTCAGGGCTGTGTGTGTGAAGCTCTGTAGCCCAGCTCTGGGAGCAGCAGTGGCCCGTGGCTCCAGCCCTGTGCTGCAGCCAGGGAGAGGAAGTGAAACCAGAGGAGGAAATGTGCTGGTGATGGTCCAGTGCAGCCTGATCCAGATGTGGCAGCTGCTGGGGTGGGGCAGAGGAGGCTCTGCTGGGAATCCCCTCGCTGTTTGTTCAGCCTGAGGCAGCACAGGCTGAGCCCTGCTCTGATGGGCACCAGCCTCGGACACCACGAGGGGAGGAGGCTGGGCTGGTGTGGCAGGTGGTGACAGTGGTGACAGTGACAGCAGCAGGGGCACAGCTCAGGAGCTCTGCAGCTGCAGGGCTGCACCTCAGCAGAGGCAGCACGTGGCTGCTGTGCCTGTAGATGTCCCCCCTCTGCTCCAGGACAAACCTTCTCCTCTACAAGGATCCGTTGTCGTGTCGCTGCTCTCACGTCCTTCCCCTCCTTACCCGTGTCCATCCCTTTCAGATCAAAGGGTCCTGGTCAAGCAAGAGGGGCTCGGAGTTTGCCAATCCCTACAGCCATAAAAGCATCCTCACAAACTGCTGTGCAGTGCTGTGTGGACCATTCCATCCCAGGTAAGAGCCTGTCACCTCCAGGCACTGGGAATTGCATCTGAGTAGGACATGAACTGTGTTGGAACTGGATGAATTTGAGTCTGGAACTTGGAGATAAGACAAATCCTGCAGTTGGGATAAGGGCAAGAGCAGCACCAATGGTCTTGGCAGCAGATGGTCAATCCAGCACAGGCACTTCTTGTCCCCTTGGCAAGGGCTGCAGGGTGATCTTTAAGGTCCCTTTCACCCCAAACCATTCCATGATCCTGTGATCCTTGGCATGTTTGTGCTCTGGGGCTGGAGCCTTTGGCAAACAGCCAAGGAGATCCCCACCAGCTCAGGGCCCCTGGGCTCCAGCACCCCTGAGACCACCAGGAGTGCTCAGGATCCCCTCCAAACCCTGGCTCTGGGTGCTCCTGGGCCCAGGAATAGCTGCAGCTTCGTCACAAGATGGTGCAGTTGGGCAGAGTCAGGCCCTGCTCTGCTCTCTGCAGCTGAGGAGCTGCATGGAGCTCCCAGCCTGTCCTGGGCACGTGGGGATCCCTGGAGGATCCAGTCTGGAGTCGTGAAGTGCTCAGTGGTGCTAACTCAGTGCAACAGCAGCAAAGTCTGGTTTGTATTTTATAATATAAAATTATTATTTATAATAATTTATAATAAGCCCTGCTCTCTGGAGTGTCCCCAGGTGGGTTCAGAGGTGCCAAAATGCAGTGCTGCCATTCAGAGCTGGCCAATCTGTGCATTCAGGGAGCCAGGCAGGGAGGCTGTGGGGGGGAGAACAGCGTTTTACTCCAGTTCGTTTCTGTTTCACCTTGGTTTCATGTTGTCCTCTGGCTCTGTGGTGGCCCAGAGCTCCCTGTGGCTCGTGGGATGGGGTGTGTGGCTCGTGGGATGGGGTGTGTGGCTCGTGGGATGGGGTTTGTGGCTCGTGGGATGGGGTGTGTGGCTCATGGGATGGACAGGAGCCCTGTGCTCCTGTGCCTGTGCTGTGCTCAGCAGCTCCTGGGAGAGGAGCCTTCCCTGTGGCCTGTGAGCTCCCAGCTTCAGTCTTTGTTCCCTGAGCTCCCCTTCCCTTCCTGTTTTGCAGTTTGATAGACAGAAGAGGATTCATCCAGCCAGATACCGGGACCCCATCCAGTCCCAAGAGTGAAATCCCTTCCTTTGGAGCCAAAACTGACACCAGCATGGTAGGAGGCATTCCCTAGCAGTGCTGTGATGTTCCCAGTGCCTGCTGTGCCTGCACCTTGCTCCAGCCACTACCTTCCCCTGTCACAGCCCCGGCCTCAGCCGGGTCAGCCCTGGGACCCAGAACTGCCAAAGACTCGAGCCATGTGTTGCCTTCTTTTTTTACATTTATTTATTACTTTTCTATGACTATTACTTGTTTCACTGTGATGTGGCCTGCCAGGGGTTTTGCCTGACAGAGCCCAACAGTTTGTGGGACCCTTGGAGTCGTGCTGGGAACTGGGGGTCCCTGAGGAGCCCTCAGACCCCTGAGCTGCAGGGCACTGCTGTGATTCCTGCTGGGAATGAGATGGGCCAGGGTGGGCACTGACAAAGGATTCCCAGTGGGGCTGGAGGAGGTGTTACCTCCCTGCTGTCCCTGTTCCCTCCAGGATCACACCCTGTTCCCCTGGCCCCACCTGGAAGGGCAGTTCTGTCTCAGGCTGGAGCAGCTTCCCCTCCCCAGCAGCTGCCGTGCCTTGGTGAGTTGGGCTGTTCACCTGGGAGGACTCTGGCTCCCAGCAGACCTGGAGGCAAGTGAGGATGTCCTGGGTCATCCCTGCTGGTCCTGTTTTCTGGCTGGGGCTGTGTTTTGGCCCTGCCAGTTGGCCAGACACGTTTTGCAGCCAGGACACGAGTCCTGGACCCTTTAACGGGGAAGAAGAAACATTCTGCTCTGTGACTCTCATGATATGCAGACCATGAGGTTGCAGGGGTGAGGTTTTGGAACTGGAGCTTCCCAGGATTGTGTCGTGTCTGTGGGAGACCAAAAGGCAACAGAAAAGTGTGAATTCCTGAGGGTCACACCCTTCCCAGCTGGAGTTTGCAGAGGAAGCAGTGAGGGGTGCTCATGGTGTGCTCCTGGTTTGGGCTGCTGAGCAGCAGAGTGTCCCCAGGGCTGTCCCCAGGGCTGTCCCCAGTACCCTGGGAGCTGTTCCAGCTGCCCATCCATGAGCACCACTCTGCACCCAGGCAGCCAGCTCTGTGTCCCTGGGCTGAAGGGAGAGTCACAAACCTTGTACAATACTTGAATCGTGTTTTTAGAAGCTGCTGGATATTTTTGCACAATTTGTAGGACTTTTTTCTCGGTAGAATGTTTCTGTCCTGTGTGGGGAGCTTTGCTGGCACCAGGGCAGAGGCTGACAGTGCCGAGCTGCCTGTCAGTTTTCCTTGGATCAGACAGACCAGTTTCAACCTCGGGCAGGGGCAGCACATTTTGGGGGGCATCCCAGCCCCCCTGAGTTCACCAGCATCGTGCTTTGTACTCTGCAAGTGCCTGTGCCAGGGGGATGGCAGAGGAGCAGTGAGGAGGGGGCTTACCAGGGGCCAGACTCCTTCCTGTTTTTATTTAAACCAGTTTCCTTTGTTACTCAATAAAATTCTATTTTTAAAGAGTTAACTGCTTGGATGATTATTTTCCTCCATGAAGATAGAAGAGGGCAGGTGTGTCCTGGTGTTTGGCATCTCTCAGGTGCCACTTGGACCTGGTCAGGCTCAGGCCTCACCTGGAAACTGCTGCTTCGAGGGATGAGCAGTGTGACTCTTGCTGGAGTGGAGGGAATTTGCTGTCCCACATTTCCAGGCTGGGCAGGGGCTCATCCCCTCCCCACTGTTGTCACCTCAGTGTCCCTTCCCCAGCTGGGACCTGTGCCAGCCGCTCTGGCCCCGTGGCAGGTGTGAGGTGCATAACCTCTGGTGTCTTCCCCAGGAGGATGCCTGCCAGGACTTTGCCATTTCCTGCACAGCCTGACGGGACTTGCTCCTCCTCGGACGTTTGCCCTGATTTCTGAGGGCTGCCTGGTAAGAAAGTGCTTCCATCTCCCTCTCACCCACTCAAAGCCACCCATCTGTGTCCCCTGCATGACAGCTCTGGCCTCAGAGCCATCAGCCTGTGCTGACACCCAGCAGCCCCATCCATCCCCGCAGGACCCACGGGGGCAGCGCTGCGGGGCTGGGAGCGTCAGGGGTCACCTGAAGGCTGTGCCAGAAGAGGATGGCTTTGGCTGCCCTGGCTTTGGGCTGGGGACACATGTGGAACATTGTGGGCATGGCAGAGGGGTCTGCAGCCTGGGGCTTGTGTGAGGACACCCCAGCCAAGGAGAGATGGGGTGTTTGGGGGGAGCAGTGGCCCCTGGGGCAGGTCTGTGCTCCCATCCCTGACCCGTTCTGTGGCTTAGGGGATCCTTCTGCCCGTTTTCCTCTCTTCAACACTCGGTTCCTCCTGCTGTGACCAAGGCAAGTTCCTTCAGGGCATGTTGTGATCACCTGTGTCACCTGTGGGCTGTGAATTGTCCCTCTGCCCCCGTCCCTGCAGCACCCCAAGAGCTCCCTGTGCCTCGGAGCCCCTTGGTGCCCCGAGCCAGCCCAGTCCCACTGAGGCAGCGAACCCGGCTGCTCTGCCCTGCTCCTGTTCCTGGCTCTAACTCTCTCTTTCTCTTCCTCCCCTCTCCTCTCCCTCACCGCGGGCTCCAGCAGCCCGTGCCTCCCGTGCATCCCACGGGGGCCGAGCCCACAGCCATCAGCACCTCGAGTGCCTCCCTCCCCGGGGAGGAAAAGCCTCCGCAGCCCCGCTCCGGGAGCCGAAGCCATGGAGCCACCCCAAGGAGGAGCGACACCCGCAATGACCGCGGCCACCGCTGCCGGACNCCGAGGCCGCCGGGGCTCCCCGAGGCCGCCGGGGCTCCCCGAGGCCGCCGGGGCTCCCCGAGGCCGCCGGGGCTCCCCGGGGCCGGCAGCCGGACGCTCCGTGTCGGTGTCTCCCCGCCGCACACGCTGCAATGCCGTGCTTGGCGTCCCAACGGGATTTTGGAAGGAGCAGGACCACGCCAGGGCATTTACAGCCAAGCCAGGGGCACCAGCCCCCAGAGCCGTGTCCGTGTGCCACAGGACTTTCCCGATGGGAATTTGTACCCGGTCAGTTCATCCCTGCAGCCCCCCCGGGCCGGCTCATCCCAGCACGGCTCTGGTTTTAGGGGAAGGCGTTCCGGCACCTTGAGCCTCCCCTGGAGCTGAGCGGAGCAGCCAGGCCTGCCCCAGCCCTGTAGGATTCACCATCTGTTTATGCCTTTTACTTTTGTAACAGAATGAAAGTTTCTCCTATTTCCTGTACTCCGGTGTCTGGCTCTGCTCTGGTGGAGGGGAGCGGCTCCTGCCCGGGCAGGCCCGAGCTGGAGCCGAGGGAAGTCACCGAGGGCTGGCACCGCTTTGCCATCATCAGCCCTGGGGATGGGAGCCCGGAGCTTCCCAAACGGGGCTGCGGAACAGTCTGGGGCCGCTCTGAGCCGTCCGTGGCTCTGCGCCCTCCCGTGCAGGGGAAGGAGCAATGGGCAGTGCCCGCAGGACCGGGGCACTCTGAGCACCCTCGCAAAAATGAGCTGTCCGCTGATGTTCCGGCGTCCCCACAGGCAGGGGGAGCAGCGGGGCTGGGCAGGGTGGCCAGACGGGCTCTGAGCATCCCTCCAGTGCCGCTGGGAACAGCCAGGAGCATCCTCTGCCTCCTGCCAGCGCCCAGCCCTCGGCTCCCGGCGCTGGGGACGCGCACTGGGCGCCCCTCTCCGCACAGAATGCTTTGGGATGCGCCTCCTGCCGCTGCCCTTGCATTCGGGGCACCCACGGGTGCTCTGTGGGGTGATGGTGCAGCCCCACAGCCCCTGCGGGGGCTCTGCCCTCCCCCAGCGCTGATTTCCCTCGGAGCCGGGGGAGCGGAGCATCCCCGCAGCCGAATTTGGGCAGCGGCTCGGCCGCTTCGGCTGCCACAGGCAGCGGAGCCCCCCGCGCCCCCCTCGTGTCCCGGCTGGGGAGGGGGTGCAGGGTGGGCAGGATCATCCCGGGCAGGCTGCGGGGGACTCGGACCCCAGACCCAAAGCACGGCTTTGCTGCTCCAAGGAGCGAGCTCGGCTTGACCCATCCGGGATTCCAAGGGAAGGAGCTGGATTTTGGCAGCCTGGGAATATCGGGGTGACCCTTCCGCCCCAATCCCTCTGGGAGGGGCGGGTTTTGCCCCCGATGGAAGTTCTGGGAGGGACTCCAAGGCTCTGCCTTGTGTGCGGGGCGGAGGAGAGGAGCCGCCCGTGCTGTCCCGTTCCTTTGGGAAGAGCCTTTCCCTGCTCCGCGGGGCGGGACCAGCTCACCTGGGGAAGGAGCTCCGATTGCTGCCCGCGGCTCTCGGGGGAGCCATGGAGGGGCTTGGGGAGGCTGCTGGGGCTGGAGACCCTCACGGTGCCCCTCGATGGCACCCCGGCCCCCCAAACCCCTGTCAGGGGCTCGGCCGGGAAGGGGTGAACGGCCCTGAACCCCTTCCCAGCGTGCAGAGATGGTGATGTGGAGACTGGGGGTGCTTTCCGGGGCTTGAAATGGTCGGGAAAAGCATCCACACGTCTTTCCTGCCGCCTCCATCCCAGCAGGGTCGGCCGGGGCGGAGCGGGGCGCCGGGGGATCCCGGGCGGTCCGGGCCGGGTGTCGCAGGGAGGAACAAAGCGAGTCAGGCTCGCTGGAAGAATCACAACGCCCCNCCCCGGGGTTTTTAGGGGCTCCCACCGGGCGAGGTCTGACCGTGCCCCGCGTTTTGGGACGGTCCCTGCCGCGGCGCCCGGGAGAGGTGCGGAGCCTGTGCCTCGGTTTCCCCACCTGTGGGAATAAATACCTGCCCGTCAAGCCCTCGCAATTGCTGCCGAGTTAATCACCATATTAAAAACGACAGTGATATGGCTTTTTCAGGGGGGAGGAACCATTTTCACCAGCGGTCACACCCCGTGGCCCATTTCTCCGCTGGGGGGGAAGAGTCGAGTGTCCCCGAGCCCCCCAAACCAGAGCGCAGCTCCTGTCACCCTTCCAAGGGCTCTCAGCAGCGGGATGGGCGTTTTCTGGGTGCCGGGGTGGGCGTTGGCTCTGGGGAGAGCCTGGGGGCACCCAGGGGTGCCGCACCCACGGGGAGGGCAGGGCGTTTCCCCCCGCGCCCCCTCCCCAGCGCCCGCCGCCCGCGGCCGGTGATTCACCGCCACTTTCCTTTTAAGGCCGCGCTCGGCGGGGAGGAAACAGAGGAGGAGGAGGAGGAGGAGGACACTCCTTGGACCTGGCTGGCTCCTCCTGCTCTCGCTCGAGGCTCCGACGCCCAGCCAAAAGCGAATCCCGGCGGCAGCGCTCGGCAGAGGCTCCGAAGTCTCCCGGCCCCGCTGCTCGCCCAAGCGTCCGCCCCGCGCCCGCGTCCCAGCCATGGCAAGAAACCACCAAGTGCAGAAGGCCAAGCTGGCCGAGCAGGCTGAGCGCTACGAGGACATGGCAGACTTCATGAAGGCGGTGGTGGAGCACGGGGACGAGCTCTCCAACGAGGAGCGCAACCTCCTGTCGGTCGCCTACAAGAACGTGGTGGGCTGCCAGCGCTCGGCCTGGAGGGTCATCTCCAGCATCGAGCACAAAACCGAAGAGGGCGACGACAAAGCTCAGGTGGTGAACGAGTACCGGGAGAAGGTGGAGCAGGAGCTGAACGCCGTCTGCAACAACGTCCTGGGCTTGCTGGACAAGTATCTCATCAAGAAGGACAGCGACACCGAGAGCAAGGTCTTCTACCTGAAGATGAAGGGTGACTACTTCCGATACCTGGCCGAGGTGGCCAGCGGGGACGACCGGCTGTCGACGATAGAGAAGGCCCAGGAGGCCTACCAAGAGGCCATGGACATCAGCAAAAAGGAGATGCAGCCCACGAACCCCATCCGCCTGGGGCTGGCCCTCAACTTCTCGGTGTTCCACTACGAGATCGCCAATGCCCCCGAGCAGGCCATCTCCCTGGCCAAGACCACCTTTGACGAGGCCATGGGCGACCTGCACACGCTCAGCGAAGACTCCTACAAGGACAGCACCCTCATCATGCAGCTGCTCAGGGACAACCTCACGCTATGGACAGCCGAGTGCGCCGGAGAAGACGGCGGCGAGGCTGGCGAAGAGCCCAAGAACTGAACGTCCCCTGCCGAGCCGGGGACCGGCCCCCACCTGCCCCTGCTCCAGACCCTGCGGCATCTCTTCGTGGGTTTTTTTTTTGTTTTGTTTTTTTTTTGTTTCGTTTTGTTTGGTTTTTTTTTTTTTTTT